GTGCCTTGGCTTCCCCTACATGTAAAACAGGGACAACACTGAAGCTGACCTTGGCCCTGGTATATACCTGGAGGGCATCAGAGAAGAAGCACTGCAGGAGTGCTGCCTGTTTCATGTCTCCTCTTCCTCTCACGTTAGAACAAGCAGGGAGGGGAGGGAGGCTGGCTGTTGGGGTCATTGTGAACCCCTGTACCTCCTGGTGAAAAGCCTTCACAATGTGCCTTTTTGCATGAAACACAGGAATTTTTGACAAAAAAAAAAAATTTGGTCACAATTATTTTTGTATTGATCACTTAAGGGGGGAGAAGGGAAAGGTATTTTAATACTGCAACATGAAGTAAAATACACTTGAAATGATTTTTTTTTAAAAACAAATTATTTATCATTTGTAAGGTAAAATAAACTGATTTTTTTTTAAAGCAACCCTGGCCTAAAAGATTCTCCGTGCATAATAATCTGTGTGTGATCCAATTGTTTGGGTTCTTGATTAGGAGTTGCTCCCTTATGGGTAAGTCTCACGCCCGCACTAAGGACATTGAAGGCCCATGGATGGGACGGGAGGGGGAAACCTCTCGCTGTTCCACATGACCACAGTGAGTATCCATGTGGTCCTGCATCTCAAGCATAATGTTTACCCTTTGACTCGTCTCAAGCAACTGTGGAAGGTTCAAGCCCAAGCTTCGGTGAAGTGAAAGAGCAGCAGTGGAAGCAGGTCCTGGGGTTAGCAGGCTGGTGCCTGCTCTTTTCTCTGAATGACTCTGGAGTCCCACAAGGGAATATGCAGATGTGCAGCTGGCTGGAGGCTCGTCTCTGTCCCACAGCTTCAATAAGGTATTCTTCATCTACTCCTCTGCAGCTTTAGCCAAGGGAAGGCAAGGGCGGCAGAGTTTTGCACCAGCTCAGAGCTCTTAGCTCAGTGGCAGCTGGAGAAATGTGGAGTGCTGATTCCCCCTAGTGTGGTGAATGCAGAGATGGGCCAAGGACTTCTACAACCTCAGCCCTTCTCTGCTTGAGCCTGTGGGGCAACTTGCCCACTTACTGTTATTTCTGGGGAAGGTGAAATTGCTTCTTTTTCACTTCAGTGGTCAGCATTTACAGGGGTGTGTTCTCTGCTCCTTCGGCACTTGCCGCAGCAGGACACTGTGTGACTTAGTACCTGCTTGCTGGTGTTAAATCCAGCTGTGGGCCAAGGTGGGCTCTGAACAGAGCAGGAGTGGATTGCAGGGTGTTTGCGTGCCTTGCTGCTGGCAGCCCTGTGTAGCCTATTTCCACTGTTACTTCCAGTACAGGGCTGCTGGGAGGGGACAGGAGCTTGCTCTGGGAGCATTGGGTCATATCCCAGCGAGCTTGAACCTGCTGATTTCGTAGCCAGTAGGGTCTGGTGTGCCTGGAGACACCTTGGACTTTCCCTGGTTCTTGTGGTATTCCCAGGCCACTTTGTCAAAGCAGCATGGTGCACAGCAGTACCAAACCATCACCTCAGCTCTGTGAGATGACACAGGAGCCAGTGTTCAGGAGCAGAGGTCAGAGGGGGGTTTTGAGCTGCTGCGTGCAGGAGGGCCAGTGCTGTGTCTTGGGAACTCTGGGAGTAGCAGATGGGTGACAGACATGAACTCTAAATTGGTCAGTATATGCTGGGCTCAACTCAACAGTCATTCCTGGATTTGTGTGTGCCCCAGTGGAGCTGGGCTTTGAGGGAAGGGGAGCAACCAGGGCACGTCCCTCAGGTGTGCTGCAACCTGCTGTGCCCTCCAAGAGTGGGAGGGAGATGGTGCCTCCCCGGGATAATGCCACCTGCCTGCCCGCAGGCTACCAGGGCCTCCAAGGGGTCTGAGAGGTTGGTTAGAAGTGCTGAGGGGCTCGGGGATGGCGGGGGGCTCCAGCAGAGCCGCAGCACAGCCCAGGCCCGGGGCTGGGGAGCCCGGCGGGCACCGCTTGCGGTGCAGCTTTCCCGGTCTCCACAAGTGGGTGCTGGCGGAGCACGCCTCGGCTCTGCGAGGTGTGCGGGGCACAGCCTCCTCCGGGTGCGCCGGGGTGGAGGGATGCAGGTGGTCCATGGGCGCAGTTACAGCTGCGCATCTTGCTCCCTGCAAGATCCCGCTGTCTCCCCAGCCTTGCTCGAAGAGAACTGTACTGCAGCGCGTTTGCCTTTCCAAGGAAAAATCCTTCTTCTTGATGCACTTAAATAACACCCTCAGAAAGCAGCTGCTGCAGGTGGAGACAGGAGAACTTCCTGGCACAGAGAGACGGTGCAGTTGGCCAGGAGCACTGGTATAAATCCTTGCTGCTAGGAAAAAAAAAAAAAAAAAAAAAAAGCAGTGGGGTTTTTTGTAATGTATTTCTGCAGGCTAGGTTGGATGAGGCTTTGTGCAACCTGATCTAGTGGAAGGTAACCCTGACCATGCGAGGGGGGTTGGAACTAGGTGATCTCTAAGGTCCACTCCAACACAGACCATTCTATGATTCGTGCTCTCAGGGCCTGTCCAAAGGCCATACTTCGTAAATCAAGTACTATCTGCAGACCTTATCTTCCTCCAAGAGGGGAATAAACATTGGCATCAGGAGTGAAGGAACACATGCATATGGTGAGTATGAGAGCAGATGGATCATTCCTTGATGGCCATGGGAAAAAAAAAAAAAAAAAAAAAAAAAAAGAGCAGTGTATCTGCTGGTATCTAGGACTGATCATCTCAGGACAGAGTTAAAGCAAACTTGCCTTTGCCTGGAGAAAGTGGTCTTATTTCCACAGCAGAAGGAGTGACGATGCTGTGATTCCTCCCCTGTTTTTTCTCTCTCTGGGTAGCAGAGGCAGGCGTATTCTCTCCTGCCTGCATGTCACATCACTGACACCAAGGGTACCCAGGTGAAGCTGTTTGGGGAGAAAAGCGTCTAGATACTAATTTTTTCCCCTGCTGTTCCGCTGACCCCGAAATAATAGTCGGGAAAAGCGGATCGCAGCAGCCGCAGAGCGGGACCGGCGGCGGCGCGGGCCGGGCCAGGAGAGGGCACTGCGGCCCCGCCCGTGGCCGGGCCGGCACCCCCGGCCGGAGGATGCCCGGGATCCCTGTCCGGCTGGGTGGAGGTGCCACCGGGGAGGACCTGCCTCCCACAGGCTGCTCGGCTCCGGAGCAAGGGAATAGCACCAGGAAGCAGAGAGGAGAGATCGGTGCCAAGTGAAACTCCAACCGGTGGACAAAAGATGCTCTGATGTAGGGGGAAGGAGGGCTCTCAGGGTCCCCAGCCTTTCCCGGGTCTTTCTCTTCTGCCCCAGAGGCGCTTCAAGCTGGCTGGAAGCCACCAGCAAATCTATGTTTGACGCAGTGAAGACACCGAAACACGTCAGTCTTCAAGATGGGGAAAACCCAGATGTCGGGGTCATGCCGAAAACACTAGAAAACAGACCAGCAGCTGCCCAGGAATGTCCCGGGGATCATAGCCTGAATGGCTGGGGTTCTGCCACAGGCTGGGGATCGGTGGCAGGAGTCCAGCTCCTCCAGCAGCTTGAAATAAGCTGCCTGTGCAAACCACCCCATGTCACCTTTCTGCTTCCTGGAGCAGTGCTAAATACAATCCACAGAAATCTCCCCTTGCACCCTGTCCTGCAAATGTTAGTCTGACTGGGGAACTTCCCCTCTGCCCTTCTTTTCCCCTTCCATCTCTCCCCCCGCTTTCCTCCACTTTTTCCTTGTTAAGAGTTTCATTTAACACATCCACCCTTTCCTCCCAGCGTGTTGCCCTCTCTTGAGGATGTCCTCTCTGACCACACAAGCCAAGGGCAAGCACTCCAGCCCATAACATCGGACTGGGTTGGAGGTGAGGCTCCAGAGCCTGCCTGCCCGCCCACCCATCTCTTCAGAGAAACCTGTCTTTCCAGGGAGGGAGAGCAGTATGTGGGAAAGCCGAGAGCCCTGGAACGTGAATTAGCCAGGGAGAGATGAATGTGTGATAGCTTGTACCTGGCAGCTACCAATTGAGCATGTTAACACTTTCGGGGGGGGTTGAGCAGCGCTGGAGCTCAGGCGTTTAATGCAGGCATCCTGCCATCCCGGGCCGTGGTAGGGGTCATCCAGGCAGTGCACGGCAGGGACAGTGAGCAACCGCCGTGTGTGGGTCCGTCAGGGTGACTGTTGGTCCTCGTCATGGCACAGAGCGTAGGCTGAGGATCTGGCCTCTGGCAGCTTCCTACAGAAGCCAACATTAGGGGATTTTTTTTTTTTTCCCCTGGCTTCCCTGGAAGTCAGTTAAATACTGCAGCTTTAAACAACATGGAGGAGGAGGAAGAGGTTGTCTGCTACTTCTCTCTTCTTCTTGGGTGACTGGCGTACCACACAGAGCACAAGTCAGGAAAGGGGAGTCTCCATGTGCTGATCCTTACCCTGCCCTGTGTCTTTAGCCAAGGCAGGTTACCTTTCTGCTCTTAACTTTCCTTTTTTTGCTGATTGTTTTGTATGACATCACTGAGGTTCAGCCCAGACATAGGGGATGCAAAGACTCAACCACACAGGCTGCTCTCATGGCCCATGCTAAAGAGGCCCCAGGGTTTATCAGAGTGGCCAGAAGTGAAATGAAACGGTTGCTTACTGGAAGGACTGTTCCCCTAGCTTGGATGCCTTTCCTTCTGGGTGCTGGTGGCCACTGTGCAGCCTGGCTTGATTCCTTGGTCTCTTTTACCCATGCATCGCAAGGGGCAGAGCCAAAAGCCTATCCACGAGGGGAGAATTCAAGTCTGGGGCTGATGGCGGAGCCCCCACGGAGCCCCCTGCTTGCAGCCCAGCAGGCAGGTGCTGCGGGGTGTATCTGTGCAGCTGAGGGCGGGCAAACCACCTTCCTTCCTCCCTCCTTCCCACCCCACCCCACGCCCTGGTAGTGCTGCAGGGACTCATCCATTCCCGAGTTACTAATATGCAAATGGGTGCTTTTGCATGGGCCGGGCGCCAGGCTGCTGGGTGTCAGGGCACCCGAGGGAGCCGGAGGTGGGGCGAGGCGTGGCGCAGCGCCGCATGCTCACCTGGCCCTGCATGGCAACAGGCAATGGAGCTCTAGGTCCCTTCGGGAGCGGACCCACGCCCGGTTCGAGAAGCAGCGGGTGGCAGAGGAGGGAGGGCAAACTGGCAGCCCCTGGCAACCTGGGGCTGACGGCAGGAGGCTGGGCGCACCGCGGATTTCCCTCCACCAGCAGGATGGTGAACCTGGAGTCTGTGCACGCAGGTAAAGAGCACTTGAGGAAGGATCGGGCTGAAGCTCACCATGTAGCTGAGATCATGGACTTGGGCAGGAAATGGGATTGCTCTGATTCCTGTGACCTTTCCTCCCTCCTTTCCCTCCTCTCTTCTCCCGCTGGAGTCGGCTGTCACAGCCAGCGCCTGGTTAAGTGCCCACATTGCTACTTGGGGATGGATGCTGCTCTGATCCTGTTTAGGGGGCTGCCAAGCCATGCCCACAACGTGGGCGCACCGCTCACGCTGCCAGCCCTAGCGTGGGTCGGTGAGCAGAGTGCAGAGGTCTCTTGAGTACCCAGAAAATGGGCACTTAGTGCCTGACCTGTGGGTCCAGTCTTTGGGATAAATCTGGAAGGAGTGAGAGGTGAATAAATTCACAGAGGGATGGGGCAAGGGTGGAGAGGGGTATATGTGTGTGAGAGTGAGATGGGGCATGGGTTGGAAGGGGAAAAGTTAATGACAAAGAAAGAAAAGGAGGGAGAAATTAATGAGGAAGAAGCTGCAGGAGGCTGGGTTGAGTGAGGAATGAATGAACAGGGATAGTCAGAAAGAGAGAGACTCCTTCCAGGGGGTCTGATCCAGAGGTACAGCTTAGGTAGTCTCACATCTTCTCTGAGTAGACCTCCGCTCTGCAATTAGCTGGGGAACAAGAGCAATCACTGCCAAATTCCTTGGAGCTGTGCTCAGTGCTTGCTCGCCCCGACAGAGTTTAGCTTCTGCCCTCAGCTCAAGCCCCCATGCCTGAAGGGAAGAACGGTGTCCCTGGGCATGGTGGAGGGTGATGCTGGGGTAGGAGCAGACCGGCGGCAGCAGTGAAGGCCAAATCCTGACAGCCCCTTCTGTGGCAGGGGCAGGCAGCAGGGTGCTGAGGGTACGGGAGCCATGTGCCCTGCTAGTGACCTGTGTCCAGTGCTTTGTGCAGCACAAAACTGTGTATGTTGTCTCCAGGTTTGGAGGGGAGGGGGCAGATACATCCATCAGTTGCCTTTGCATACCTATTGGCACACTGCAGCGAAGCTCAGGCTTTCGGTGGTCCTGCTGGGCAGGGGAGACCTAGGGGTCCGTGCTCAGTGCTTATAGCCCTTCAGCAGGCCCCCCCTGAGTGTGGGCTCACAGGCAGGCCTGCAGGGCAAGGCAGATGCTGAGGCAGTGCCATCACCCAACACAGGGTCAGCCTTCAGCCTGCTGGCAGAGATGGCCAAAGCCCCCGCTCTGTGGCTGTGTTACAGCCTCCCCATGGCTCTGGGGAGCCAGCAGCCCCTCCACGGACAGTCTGCACCCCCTGAGTTCCAGCCACGGTGGGGGGAAGCTGGGGAGCTCCCAGCACTGCACAGCCGGTCGTGAGGAGAGGCTGCAGGAGGCGGGAGGCTCGTGGTCTTGGCTCAGCGTGTGAGCCCGACTAGTCTGAGCACCTGCAATGGGTGTGCTTGTGTGTGGTGTCTCTCGGGGACACATCCCCCGCAGGCTCCTATCCACCCATCTGCTTTGCTTGTGGGCGACTCTTTCTTCATGAGAAGATTCCCAAAATCGATACTGTGCCCTCTGTCAAAGCCAGCGGCATCCGTCCCAGGGAGGATTTGTCCAGGAGCTGCACAGATTTGGGTGCATGCTGACCTTCCGTTCTCTCAAATCTGTCAGAAGGGCCCAAGCTTTAAGCAACCTTTTTGCAGGGAGGGAGACCAGCTTGGGTCCAACCACTTTCACATGTCAGAACCAAACGCTGCTGAGAGGGTGTTTCCTCACCATTGTGCAAAGACAGTTCGGCGTGTTCAGTCTTGGGGTCCCCAGTCAGCAACACCTTTGCAGAGGTGTGCTCTGTTTCTTCCCTGGCCATGCAGAGAAGACGGAGCGTGCAAGGTGAAGGTGGGCTGCTTGGGCTCCGCACGCCCTCCTCCCTGCCGAGAGGGTTTCTCTGCAGCAGCGTGTTCCCGAGCATGTACCGCCGCCTCCTCCCCAGGCATTTGGAGAGTTCACCTTCCTGCAGCCCCCAGAAGGGCTTGGGTACCTAAAGTGCAGAAAATTCAACAGGCTTCACGTAATGGTCTTGGCCAAACTGAGGCCACCACCAGCTTTTGCTTTTCCTTTTAAAGTCATCAGGCTGGTTCACCCTGGTGCCCGTGTCTGAACAACTGCTAGGAATAAGGGCTTGGGAAAGCTTTATTTGCTGACAGCACTTGTTTCAGCAAAAATATAGATGCAGATATATCCCCAGAGAAGTGTCTGCACTGGTATAGCTTCTTTGGTCTGGGTGAACAAACCAGACTACCCCTACTCCAGGTATGTTTGCTAGCTGAGGTATAGCAGCACATTTTTAATATGGCCCAGGCCACAGTGGCGGCTCCTAATAGGTCTGTGGTTAGGAGTTAGGCAGTCCTAAGTTGCATTATTTTTCCCAGAGATATTTTTTACTAGCCTGCTTATTCTCTGTATATTGCCGACCTGGCAAAGCTGTATGGAAGGAGACTGCATTTAGTTGGACTCAGAGTCTCACAGCCTGTCTTGTCTTGAGATATTTTTTCAGATGGAGGGGAATTCAAATCCAGATGCATCACTCTTTCTGCATTGGGTGTCAATAAAAAGGTGTTGCCTTTATCTTGGCTACACTTATATCATATTAGAAGGTAATTCTGTATGTCTGCTCCTTGTTCTTAAGGATCCCTTGGAGCATAACTGGTGCTGAACTGCTGTCCATAGGTATATAAAAGCTAGCCAGCCCCAAACCAGTAGGCTTTAATCAAAGGGGTTTTCTTTTTCTTCTTTTTCTTTTTTTTTTTCTCCCACAAGATACTGAAACTGTAATAACACATGTACATTTATGATGGGAATTTGAATCTTTGTGAGAATAAAATTCTTCTGCTGCATGTATGAGAATCACAGGGAAATATCTTCTTATCTCCTGACTCCAGGAGGAGGGAATTTAGCTGATGGATAGCATGTGATATGTAATCAAGTCAGAGCTGCGATTCCTCCTTTTCTCCCCACCCACCCCAGGTTATAAATGTCAGAGGGGCTGTAGGGCTCACTCCTGTGAGACAGCGAGAGCTTTTCATGGTTTGCTTCTGTGGCTTCCCATTTTCAGCCCTGTCTGAACCGCTCTGTCTCTTTCTCTGTGCCAATAAGGAGCACCTTAGTCTCAAGGGATTAGATAATTTTCTTTCACTAAGGTGTTTATTTGTGTGCTCACAATGAAACCTGCATTACCTTTTTTTGCAAACTTGCAAACTTTCTCACTAAAGCAAACACTAAACTTCTGCACAGTTTATGGTTTTTCTTATTCTATTTTGTGAGAACTTGGCTTTTTTTTTTTTTAAGGTACTTTTTGGCAGCAAGCAAAACTTTGTGCTTTGTAGATTGCCTAAGTTAGGGTCCCTTGGCAGTATTACAAGACAAGAAGATGTTTATAGCTGATGATAATTGCTCTTCCTGCAGTAGAAATGCTTAGAAGCCCCACTAAATGTTCATGTCTTAATTACAGCGGGTTTATTTGAAGGAGGAAAAAAAAAATTCCACAACTTTCTTCTTTCTCATTTTCCCCCTCACATATTAGGATACTTCATTTCTTTAAGTTGAATTAAGTATGTCGATGTTTCTATGCTCCATCTCTGGTACAAAATATTGCCATTTTTTCTTCCTTTATTCATTTGCTGAAGAAAAATCTTCAAACTTTGACCTAAACAAAGCTATTCGATTTTGACCAAAAAGCAGATAATTTGTCATCTACACACTGGAAGTTTGAATAGGGGAAAAGGAAACCTGAACAAACAGAAAGGCCTGCCTGCTTTAGTGTGAGTAATAGAGGGAAATAGGTATAAAAACCTATAGAGTTTCTTCTCACGCTTTTGGCTGTTTGGAAATAATACAAGGCATATATAGGAAAGAGGAAAAGGTTTGCATGATGCTTCTAAGAAGGCTTTCACCTGTCTTTTCTACCCCAGCAAAACCACAGCAAACACTGGCCCAGCTTCCACTCTGTTGTTATTACCAGATGCAAATTGGATGACTTCTGTGGCCAGGATTGGCTGCAAGAAGCACATGCAAATCAGTTGGTTCTTTATAAAAAATTATCTTTTTTCCCGAACTAGCCTGGAAAGAGTTAAAATTCCCATGCAAAAGGTAGAAGAGCTGAGGGGGTGTCCATCTGAATTTGAATAGATATTCTTCCTTCTCTCACTGGTGTGTACTTTGCCTCTTTTAAGGAGGAGATGAGCAATCCAGTGCAAAGTTGACTTTTCTCACCTTTTCTTTCAGCTGTTCCTGAAGGAGAACGAGGCCCCGGGTGTGGTGGCAGCCATCACTTCAAGGGTAAATGACAAATTTATTGGCATGGATAAGTATGGGGGGAAATATGCAGGAGCTTGATGGCGAAGCACTCATCTTGCTCCTGGGTTGGGAGCAGTGCTTTGGAGCAAGGCAGCTTCTTCATGGTTTGTGAGAGGTGTGAGCATGTGCACGTGTGAAAGAGCAGGGGAAACAGTTTGCAAATAGGGACCAAACGTATCGAAAGAAACAAGCTGAGTTAGCAAGGGAGCGAGAGGATATTTTGCTTCCCTCTCTGAGAGCATCTTGCTCTGCGTCTGCCTTTCTGAGGCTGGTCCTCCCTGCGTGAGCTTTGTACAGTACCAAGCACTGGCCTGGCTAAACCGTCTTGAGGGACAAGTAAGGGGTGGGGGGGAGGAGGGGAAGGCTAGGAGAGCCCCCCTGCCTCTACAGGTGTGGTGGAGGATGGTGTCAAACTGAGAGGCAAGCCAGCTGGTTTGGGAAGGCAGCAGAAAGCTCGGAGAGAGGCTGGGAGGGCTCCCTGTGGCTAAACAACCCCTCATCCTTTGTGGAGGAGAGGAGTGATGGGAAAGGTGAGAGCAGCAAATTGGGGAGGGGGAAGGAATGAGGGGGATGCAAAGAGCAACAGGAGGGAAAGTGCATCCTCGGAGCTGATGAATATTCTAGTGACTGTATGTTGAGGAATCAGAAATTTGAAAGTCTGATGGTTTATTATAATTACACATTCATTTGTGCTGTTTAGTGGAAGCCACATGTGCCTGTTGCCTGGGACTGTGACCTGTTATTAAAATCAGTTGTGCCTCCTTTTCCAGAGATCAAGATGAGCGGTGATGCGGCAGATTCCACAGATACTCGGCACGAACCTGACCAGGTGGAGCCAGGTAAGGAGGGTCCAGGATGTGGGGGGCAGGCAAGGGAGCTCAAGGAGGGAGGGGAAAGAAAAGAAAAGGGAGGCATGGGTGCTGGAAGTTTCTGTCCATGCTTTGCTTGACTCCTGTTGCTGCTACATTGTGCTCTTCCAACCAGCCTGGGAATTGACAAGAATGCGCTCTGGGCTAGGATTGCATTCGTATCTTGATCAGCATGCAAGATCCCTCTGCAACAGCAGTGAATCAGTGTGTGTCTCAGTAAAGTCCTCGGCAGTTTTAGCATGGAAATATGCTCACATCTTGCTGAAGGAATAATGCCATTGAAATACTCTTGGTCCGCTCAGTTTATCACAAACAGCTTGCTTTACACAGGGCTCATGTGAGGAATGTTTCCTTAGACAAAACTCCCTGGGAACTAAGCCTTTCTTGTCCACCTATATGTAGAAAAATGGGAGAGACTTTGGGAATAATCAAATCCAGCTAGGTAGTTCCTGGAAAAATTTATCACTCTTCATCTTGAAGCATGATTGGGTTTTTCCTCTCCACTACTCCCACCTGACAGCTGCTCCAATTCTCGCTGCTCTGTGGCTAGAAGCCCCAGTTTTCCTTGAATATGGAAAGCTGAAGAACACGGTGATCCTTTGAAGATGATGGTGCTGGTGTTAGCACTGATTTCTGTCAGGTTGTCTACCAACTTTCGCACTGCCACAAGGTGTGACATGCACCAGAAAAATCAGTTTTGTATTTCCTGGCATTGCTTCTAACTGCTGCTGCCTGCAGTGGGCTTTGAATGTGAGACCCTGAGCCTATAATTTCACAAGGGCTCATGGTCAGATTCCTTTTTAGGCAAATAAACAGCAATAAGAAATATTTTTAGCACCTACTAGGCATAACAAGATTATTAGAAACCGTGAGGCTTGTCTATAGACCTAGAAATAAACACCTTTTAAAACTAAAACTAGTAGAGACAATGTGGAAGAATCATTGTTCTTTGAGTAATAGAGAGCCCTAAGCTTGGGGAGGGACGACACACAGAACATGCAGAATGTGTAATAGCAGATTAAAATTTGTGGAATGACTTTACTGTTTCTTTTTTACCTCTGTCATTCAAGAGAACTTAGGTAAAAATAGATCTTGGTAAAGCCAGAGAATTCTAGGCGTATTTTAATGGGACTAAAACTACATCTTTATTTACACCTTACATTGAGGACTAGAAATCCTTTGTGCTCTTAAGTATTAAGGTGGGTTGTTTGACATAATCTAAGGTAGAGATAAAATCTAGTTCTATTCATGCCCATGAACTCTGATTGACTTTGGTCAGATCAATTTCTGCTCAGGGCTTTCAGATGACCCCAAGTTGTTTTTTGAGATAAATGTTTCCAAACTGCCTAGCAACAAACATGTCCTCAAATTCTCAAGGTCTTTCAGAAAACCCTGGTAGCTGTTACAAGGCCTTAAACTGGGAATCACAGTCTCCTGAAATGTTTCGTGCATCTTGACACACAGAGTTGATGGATAGCATAGTTGAATCAAGATTAGGGAAGGCTGGATTATGATGAGAGTCCGTAGGTATTTGGTTTTGGTATTGGCTGTTAATAAATGTAATAGGAGACTCTGGCTGCTGATGTTGTAGTCAAAATAGTCAAAAGTGTTAAAGAGGAGAGAAGCTGGCACCACAGTTGATTGGGTAAAATATGCTTTTCAGCTTAAGCTTCCCAGACAGCCATTAGTGTTAGCTGTAGCACCTCTTTCTAGTGGTAATTGAGAAAAGAAAGCAGAGAAGTGAAGTCAATTTGTTTTAAAATAATAAAAATGTTTGCAGCAGCATTAGCTCTGCTCTAGGAGCCTTCAAATCAAGCAGGGAAATCAGAACAAGTAAATCTCCTTCATTTGCAAGAGTGACACTTCCCTGGGGACTGATAGAAGGAACCTGTTTAAATTATTCTTTTTTCTAATGCAGTCCCCTGTGACTGGCTGATGTGTTCAGGATCTTCAGAGATCACCACACCAGATTTAGCTGTGATGAGAGACATTAGAGCGGGTTAGGAGCTTCTTGTGGGGCTACAGCAAACAGCCCCAACCCCTCCTGTGGGGTGGTGGGTCCCTTGCAGGACTCTCAGAGAGGGTGGCCAGGGCAGGATCACATGCTATTCCCAGCTGTGGATGTTATATGTTGGGTGGAGTAACCTGGCACATCGAGCCCACGGAGGGTCTGCCTCAATGCTTTACCCAAAACCTCTGCATCTTTGTCAGGTTTTTTTTTTATTTCCTTCTTTCCGACCATTCTGTTTATAAACAACAAAGCCCTTTGTACTGAACTTCCCTGGAAGTTTTTATTTTCCCTTATACACATTCTTAGAGAAATATTTACTGCAACACCTTACAGTTTACTGTTTTGTTTACTAGCTTCATGTGGGAAAATCTGTTTTCCAATGACTCATTAATTGAAGACCCATTTCCTAATGAATTGGACCAATCCACACAGCTCCCCAGAATTCTTGTTACCCCCAGAGGAGAGGGCAGTTACCAAACTAACAGTATTATAGCTTATAAAGAATCCAAATCCTTCTAGGTGCATATTTACAAAGGCCTTTCATCACCAGAAGATGTAGACTGGCTCCAAGAAGAGTTAAAAAAAACAACAGAAAAAAAAACACTGGAGGGAGTTGGGTGCCAAAATGCTTTTGTAAACCAAGCCCTTGATCTAAAGCTGATGCTTAAAGATCTGATGGGAAGTGTCAGTAGCAGAAGCATAATCTCATCCTTTCATATCTCCGCCAGTTCTAGGCTTTGAGGGGGGAAAAAAGGGTAATTTGGGGCATTGTTTTACTTTGAAAGTGTTTAAAATAATCATAGGGCTGTTTCTGAGAAAATTGTTCATCTTCCATACGAGGTTAGGAAAACTAAGCTGTTTTTCATTCATACTAGTTTCATAGAAAACTATTCAAAGCTTTTTAGTAAAATATTCTCCAAAAGCTGAAGTTTGCTTGATTCCACTCTTCCATGTCTACTGGTTGTAAGGAAACTTTTCCATTCTACAAAAAAATCTATGATTATTAAAAAAAAAAAAAAAATTTCTAAGGAATATCACTTACCCTGCCCAGCCCTGTGAATTTTAAGCCTTCCTTTACTTCAACTCTGCCTTTTTTTATCACAGTATGTGTGTGAGGGGGAAGGGGAAGAACAGGCAGGAGTTTCTCCCCCAAGGGCTGTGGGTTAGACTGACTTCTCCCATTGCCCAGGAGCTGCGTAGGTCAGTCCCATCTCTCCAGTCTGAGGGTCCTCTTTACCCTTTCCTGTGTGATGCCAGCGTGGTTTAATGCTTGGCGTGCAGCGGCTGTGGCTGGGCTCACAGGCAGTCCCGCTGACTCCATGGGGGGTAATGACAGGCGTGAGTTTTATGCTTGGCTGTATGCTCTTTTCATCTTTTTAAACTGATGAAAGCCATGCCAGCAAGTTCTGGGCTGATTTTTTTTTTTTTTTTTTTTTTTTTTTTTATGGGAACTGTGGGGGCTTGGCACTGCAGAGTGTCGCCCCTGGTCTTCAAGCCGAGAGGCAGAGATCTCCCCCTTCTTGTGGTTTATCTAAGCCCTCTGTATCTGATGCAACAAAATGCTGAGGTGGGACTTGCCTCTGTCTGTCTGTTTGTTTGTGTCAGACACTTGTTCCTCGTTTATCTGCTTGATCAAAACAGGTTACACCAAGCAAAGCTACTTCCCTTTGATTTCATCTGTTGAGGCTATGGGGGGGAAGCCAAAGCTTTAACAAAAGGGCGATAGGGAAGCTCTTCAAACGCAACCATCGGTAACTGAATAGCTGCAGGCACTCCGAGCATCTTCCCTCCCCACCCTGTAACAGGGGGAACTGGCCGGCCTGCCAGGAGCCCAGGGCGGGGTGCACGATGGGCACCCCGGCACCCGGGGAAAGGAGATGGGGTGTGCATGTGTGGGTGCAATATAGGACAGCCCTACGGTGATATCGCAGCCTCAGGAGCAGCTGGTATCACTCCTGGGGACAGTGGTGGATGGGTGACCCAGCAGCTTCACCCACCTCTGTCGGGGTTGGGATCTGGAAGAGCAGCAGCCAGGTAGAAGAGTGCTGTTTCATGGGGAGGGCGCAAGGAGCCAGAAAACTGGGTTCTTGGATTGCTTCTGACTCTGGTGGCAATGCTAGCAGGGTTATCTAACCCTCACAGCTTGAGTAACCTGAGTGTATTAGGAATCAATAAAGCAGATACTTTCTTTCTGAGTGTAAGAAAGACAGTTTCCTTTAAATCTGAAGAAAATGAAAGTGGTAAGGAGCTATGATGCATCTGCTCCTAAGGTCCTGCAAAGTGTCCCTTTTGAGGAGACACTCCTGTGAATGTCATTCTTCTCCCCAGCATCCTCAACTTCAGCCAGCTTGTGCCCGTGGAAGGATGACAGCATGAGACACCTTCCTCTGCTGCTGCCACAAGACACCTAACGTCCCCTTGGCAGCAGAGGAGAGACAACAGGGGCAGCTCTGGAATTGGACACCAAATCTTCCAACTAGTCCCCCAGCTTCTGTGTATTTAATGCATTTTCCATTAAATCCATGTCAGGGCAGATGGAAAACCAGACACCTTGTCTCAGTCTGCCACACATGTCCTGTACAAACCTAATTAAGCCTATCTCTGTTCCTCAGCTCCAAAGCGAGGGTCCAGATCTCTTCTCCCAGCTTTTTGTTAGGCTGTAAGCTCTTTGATGCAGGTGCTGCTCTCCCCAGGGATGGTACAACTCCAGGCAGAAGGGAGTCATGATCTCTGCTGGGCTCTGGGAAGGCTGTTTATTGCATCCCAGTCACAGGTGTCAGGGTAGGGTCTCTTTTAAACTTGATGGCTTATGTTGGAATAGGGTATGGAGGCTCTGACCTCTGGGTCAGCTTCTAACTCGGGCAAAAAGAAATGCGTACAAGCCAGGGATGTCAGACTTGGCAGGAAAATGGCCTGTGTGAGGTGAGTTGGTGGGTGCTCAGGCTGTGCCGCTCGGTGC